AGGTCTGCGAGCTGGTCACGCGGAGGCAGGTCCAACGTACCTTTCGAGGGCCGTTCGAACCCTCCTCCCTTCCTCTTCCTCCTTCTCCTCCTTCTCCCCCTCCTCCTCCTCTACCTTTCCCTCTCCCTCCTCCTCCACCTTTTCCCCCACTCTCCTCCTCCCACCTCCCTCGAGAGGGCACTTTATAATAAACTCCGTCTGGTTGGCGCCACCAGTCTTCATACATGGCAGGCCACGTCTTCACGTAAGTCTGGGTGCGCTCGAAATAGGTCCACCTGCCACCCCGCTATACCTATTCCCCTATCTCCTTAAGGTCCCCATCCCTTTCCCCTGTCGCCCTCATTCCGTCTGCAGGGTCCGATTGCGACAACTTTCACTGCGTATCAATGGTGTTGTTCCACTTCCTCCTCCTCCTCTCTCTCTCTCTCTCTCTCTCTCTCTCTCGCTGTCTCTCTCTCTCTCTCTCTCTCTCTCTCTCTCTCTCTCTCTCTCTCTCTCTCTTCTTCTCTCTCTCTCTCTTCTCTCTCTCTCTCTCTCTCTCTCTCTCTCTCTCTCTCTCTCTCGTTCTCTCTCTCTCTCTCTCTCTCTCTCTCTCTCTCTCTCTCCTCTCCCTCTCTCTCTCTCTCCTTCTCTCTCCCATGCCCTGCTGTTTGTGTGTCATTCACTGTTGTTCTCTCTTTTTTTAATTCACGCACGCACGCGCACGCACGCTCTCTCTCTCTCTCTCTCTCTCTCTCTCTCTCTCTCTCTCTCTCTCTCTCTCTCTCTCTCTCTCTCAGCTTCCTCGTTGTCTTTTGGAATTGTTTCTTCCATGATCCCTCGACGGCCACCCAACGTGGTATGTATGACCCTGTTTCACCCACTCCCTCGTCTGCCCTCTCTAGTATTATCCTCCTCGTCCTTCTCCTCCGTATCCCCCTCATCCTCTGCCTTTTCCTTCTCCTCTTGCTTCGCCTTGTCGTCGTTATCCTCTTCGTCCACCTCCTCCTTATCCTCCTCCTTTTCTTTCTCCTGCTCCTCCTTCCCCTTCTCCTCCTTCTCCCCCCTTCTCCTCCTCCTCCTCCACCGCGCCCTCCCTCGGCATCCCCCGCCATGATCCGCAGCCGCGGCCCCAATCCGTTGCATGCTCGGCCAAGGCTGGCGGGGGCTCGCTGCCCCAGTAATCGCGGAATGCCTCGGCCGACGGGCGGGGGCGGGATCTCGAACGGGACCTTGGCAAAGGCGTCATGCCTGGGAATGGGATCCCAGGCCGGGGGGGCTGCGGCGCTGCAGCGCGCGGGCGGTCGGCACCTCGAGCGCGAAACGGCTTGGCGGCAGCGGGCCCCCCCCCCCCCCGCTCCCATCTCCTCCTCCGAGCTGCCCTCGTCATCGGCCGCCGTCGTCGACCAGGGGGTGGAGCGCGGCGGGAAGGGGGGTGCCCAATGAAGGGCGGGTCGTGAACCCCAGGGTCACGCCCTCCCCGCGCCGCCCGCCCGCGCCCCTCCCGCTGGGCGACGACGCTGGGCGATGATGATGGCAGCGCGGCCCCATGTAGCAACGAGGGAAAGCACGCGGGCCGACGCGAGTTCGGCGGGCTGTCGACCGTCGTCGTCGCCCAAGGGAGGAAAAGAAGGGATGGCGCAACGCGTTTGCCATTTCTGGGCAGGGAGCCCGCGCCGCCCCGCCAGTCCCCCCGTTGGGCGAAGACGCGGTGCGAGGGCGGCGGATCTGCTTTCGGATGGAGGGCGGCATTTTCAAAACGGGCTGGATCCTGCGCATCGAGCCGTCCAATGTTCAATTCATTATGTATGAAATATCCAACGGTGGTGCGATCATTTGCATCGAGCCGCGTGCTGCCATCGCGCGCGTTTGGCTTAAGTCGACTCGCCATCGCCCGCGGGGTGCCAAGGTTGCGGGCGGGGACGCAGGGGCCAGGGGTGTCCTCGGAATCGCTGCAAAGCCTAAGCTCCTTGCAACTGCTCCCCCGTTCCCCCCGTTTGGGCGCGCCCGCCCCGCGGGCTATTCGGGCTATTCGTCCTTTTGAGTGGAGTTCCCACCATCGCGCGTTGACAAGCTCATGCGCGCGCGGTCATAAGTTTTTTGTTTCGCCGAACGTCTTCGCTTTATAAGTTCGACATCGAGTCGAGAACATGGGCGGGTTCTTGAAATTTAATACGAAATCACCTAAATCGCCACCCATCGACTGTCCGCGCCACCTGAATGAAAAAAGAAGGAAAACGCAACAAGCTAGATTCTTACTCTAAGATGCATGTAACAAGACAAATGTTAACTCTTAGAGCAAGAGTTATTCAACCTCTGGGTCGTGGGGGACTGGGAGGGCGGCGACCCCGCGGACCCTCCCCCCCTCAGCTCCACGGCGCGGTCCTGCAGTCCAGCTGAGGACTGACCGGTGGTGCCGAGGCCCGGACCGGCCGGGAGCCGAACATCCGGCGAGCGCCCAGGAGGCACGCCTCCCCCTCGCCTCTCCCTCCCCCGCCCCGTGCTCTGCTCGTCCCCTCTCCCCCTTCCTCCTTCCCCTGCCTTTCCGCCCTCTCCTCTTGCCTTCCCGCCCCGTGCCCCTCCCCCCTCCTCCCGCCTCTCGGCCGGGCCCTCCTTCCTCAGCTTACCCTGGACAGGCGCCCCCCTGAGACCCCCGTCCGTGGGACGGCGGGGCTGGGGGCTCGGGGAGGTCTCTCCCCCGGAGGGCCCCTGAGACCCGCGCCATTCCTCGGCGCGTGGCCGGGCGGGGTGGCAGCGCGCCCCCCTGAGACCCCCGTCCGTGGGACGGCGTGGCCGGGGGCGTGTGGTGCCTGGGACCTTCCCTGGAGGGCCCTTGAGACCCGCGCCTCTCCGCGGCGCGTGGCCGGGCGGGGCGGCCCCCTTTCCCCCCTCTCGGGGCCCTCCCCCCCTGCCCCTCTCCCTCCCCCCGTCTCCCTCGCCCCCCCCTGTCCTCCTCCTCCTCCTCCTCCTCCTCCTCCTCCTCCTCCTCCTCCTCCTCCTCCTCCTCCGGCCGAGGCCCGCCAGGACTCGGGGGGGGCGCCCCGACCGAGGAGCAGGTGCGACCCGGGCGGTGGGACGGGCGGGAGGGCCGCGCCGCGTACCCACCTCATGCCGCCAGTCGGCTCGGTCTTGGCCGGGTCGCTGGCGCGCGTTGGGGCAGGGGCCGGCCCTGGCACCTTCGTCGCACCTCCCCCCACTGTCCGCAGCCAGACCAGGACGGCGAACCCGGGGGGGGGGCGGCCGCGCCCAGGGTGGGGTGATCGCAGCTCGCCACCTCAGGCGCCTGGCGCGGGCTGCCGCTCGTGGCCAGGACAGGGCATGGCTGGCCGAGCCCGCGCAGCGGGAAGCCCTCCAGCGGCCAGCGGGCACCGGGGCCACGGCGGCAGACCTCAGCGCGCAGGGAGCCACGCTACCAGAGGTTCGAGCGTGGGCTCGCCTCGCCTTGCAGGGCGCCCTCCTGCGCGATGCAACCGGGGCGGTGGCCGCGTGCCGGTTCTGCGGCGCCTCGCTCGAGACCTGGGCCCGAGCAGTGCCCCCCGGCGGTGGAGGAGGAGCAGGAGGAGGAGGAGGAGGAGGAGGAGGGGGAGAAGCAGGAGGAGGAGGAGGAGGAGGAGGAGGAGGAGGCGAGGAGGAGGAGGAGGAAGAGGGGAGGAGCAGGAGGAGGGAGGAGGAGGAGGAGGAGGAGGAGGAGGAGGAGGAGGAGGAGGAGGAGGAGGACGGAGGAGGAGGAGGGGGAGGGGAGGAGGGGGAGGAGGAGGAGAGAGGAGGAGGAGGAGGGAGGAGGAGGAGGAGAAGGAGGAGGAGGAGGAGGGAGGAGGGGAGGCGGAGGAGGAGGAGGAGGAGGAGGAGGAGGAGGAGGAAGAGGAGGAGGAGGAGGAGGAGGGAGGAGGAGGAGGAGGAGGAGGAGGAGGAGGAGGAGGAGGAGGAGGAGGAGGAGGAGGAGGAGGAGGAGGAGGAGGAGGAGGAGGAGGAGGGGAGGAGGGGAGGGGGAGGAGGGAGGAGGAGGGGAGGAGGGGGAGGAGGAGGAGGAGGAGGAGGAGGAGGAGGAGGAGGAGGAGGAGGAGGAGGAGGAGGAGGAGGAGGAGGAGGAGGAGGAGGAGGAGGAGGAGGAGGAGAAGGAGGAGGAGGAGGAGGAGGAGGAGGAGGAGGAGGAGGAGGAGGAGGAGGAGTGTCGCTCCACGCCTCGGGGCGGCTCGCGGTCCCCGGCTCGCTCCTCTGCCGAGGCTGGCACTTCGAGCCTCCCAGCAGTAGTGCGAGCATGTCGACACTTCGTGTTCGCAGGTCTCGAGCAAGGGCGTGCCGCTCCGCGCCTCTGCGCGGCACACCATCCACCTCGCGGTCCCAGGGCGTCCACGCGCCGAGCGTTCCCCCGCTTCCCGCCACGCGGAGCGGAGCGACTCGCTGTGCGCCTGCACGGTATAGCGTGTCGTCGGGGCCGCCGCCGCGACGCGCTGAAGAAAGGCTCCTCGCCATGAGGCCTCGTGAGTTTGGCACGGGCGGCCAGGGGGAGTGGGGGCGCACTCATGTTCCCAACCCCGCCTGTCAACCAGCTCGCAAGATTCGTCCATCGTCTCTTTGTTCTTGTGTGCGCTTCGAGCGATTGTCATCTCCTGCTCTGTGGCCGTTTTGATTCGAAGGAGGAAAATATCATGAACATAAGCTTTCGACGCTCCGCGCGGATTGCTTGGATCCGCGCCGGGCCACGCCAGCGGCGCCTGCGGCGCCGCCCCGAGCGCTCCGTGCGCCAGGGAGGGGGGTCCAGCGCGGATCCAGGAAATCCGCGCGGAGCGCCAACAGTTTCTGTGTTTATGGCACTTGCTCCTCATCTACAGTCGGCCCGGACTAGTAGGTCGACCCTGACAAATCAAGGGTACCCTTGTGTCCTGCGCCTCGCGACCCATGCCTCCGACACTCCCCATGCCAATGTGGCCCTCGGAAGGATCTTGCGTCCTCTCGCCTGCCTGTCCAATCGAGTCCGACCTTACGGCACCTGTACCTCATCTGTTGCCATCTCCTGCTCTGTGGCCGTTTTGCTGCTCCAGCGCCCCTCCGCGGGGCAGGCGCCGCGAGCGCCCGCCCAGGTCTGGAGAGCGGCGGCCGCGGCGGCCGCGGCGGCATGCCGCCGAAAAGGCGCGTCTGGAACCGGGACCTCGTGACAGCGCTGCAGGCGAAGCAGTACGACGCCCATGCGAGGAACGTGAGGATCGGGGGCGGACAGACCTCCTGCCCTGACACGTCGATTAGCGGATTGGCCGTTTCCGGTTCGCGGGAGGGCGTCGCGGCCATCATGTTTGCGGGTCCAGGTCCGTCGGTTTCGGTCCCAGGCCGTTTTCTCTAAGGGGAGGTTTACTAAAGGGAGGTTTGTCCACCGCCGAGAGGAGCTGGCACACGTGGCAGAAGGCCGCGGAGGCTGTCGAGGCCGTGCGCAAGGACATCACGGTCGACGCGAAAGGCTCCGTGAAGAATGCTCGACGCTTCGCGTATGTTCACCTCAGGGGCTGCCCGGCAGACTCCCTGGATTTGCACGCCCTGGCTTCTCAGACGCCCTGGGTTGCCGCTGCCCGCCGCCTGACCGCGGCTCCGCGCGCGCCCGCCCCCTCGTCGCGGCCGCAGCCCGAACGTGACCGCCTGCCGCTGGCGCTTCCGCCTGCGGCCGTAAAAAAACAAGTATCCCCAGCAGCCCTTCCAGGGAAGTGCGGGGGCACAAACTGGAACAGAGAGGGGAGGCCCGCCGTCAACCCGAACATCGGAATCTGCCCGAACAGGCCCAGGAGTCAACCTCAAATGCCGTCGCGGACCTCTCGATGTGGGTGCCTCGTGGCAGCTTAGCTGGGCTATCTTGGCGCCCCGTCCGGGCCACTCTGGAGGCTTTTGAGTCGCTCTTGGGGCCCTTCTTGGGGCTCTCCTGGGACCGTCTTGCGAGCCACTGAGGCGCTCTCGGGGCCATGTCGGGGGATGCTGATCCAAGAAGGGAGGGTCCCGTAACAGGAGGGAGGGTCAGGCAACGACGCCCCCCCCCCAGAGTGCAAGAAGTCACTTCTTGGGGCCGTCTTGAGCGTTCATGGGGCCGTTTGGGGGACATCTTGGGCTCCGCTTGGGGCAACGTTGGCCCATCTTGGAAACATCTTGACACTTCAGAAGCCCACCGGAAGCAAAAGGCAAGGACGCAAGCATCATCGGTTCTCCCAAGGTTGTGCTGCCATTCGGAAGCGTCCTGGGGGAATGATGGGGCCTCTTGGAGCGTGTTGGAAGCCGCGCTGGGCCATCTACGGTTGTATGAGATCATCTCGGAAGCCATGGTGCGTTCTCTGAGCCTTGTTGGAACCTTCTTGGGCCATCTTGGGCGGTCCAACGACCCGCCGCCCCCCCCCCCGCGCCCAGACCCTGGGCTCGAGACTTCTGCGAACTGGGCGGGCGAGCCCCTCCAGAGAGCACCCGGGCACGACGCCGGGATGCTTGGGGTCCAAGACGGCGCTTGAGAGGCCGAAGACGGACACCAAGACCGCGCGGACAGCGGGCAAGGCAGATGCACACGCCACTCTTTTTCATCAGATATCACATACAGGCCTAGTTTAGCCGAGATGTAGTTCTACCGAGTTCCATGTTACCGAGCAAGGACCTCAGCATGAAGTAGGTAGTGCTCCCAGTTGGCGGGCAAAGTGGATGCATATCAGCCCGCGTGGCCGCACAGGGCATCGGCGCTGCTGCGCTGCGGCAGGCAGGGGCGACGAGGTGGCCCGACGTGGCAAAGACTCCCGTCCCGACAGCTTGGTTTTGCAGTGATTCTAGGTTTTGTGGCTTTTTTTTTTTTGTTCTCTCTCTCTCTCTCTCGATGGGCCCCGGCGGCCTCCAGATGGCGCCAGAATGGCCTAAGAGGAGCCCAAGACAGCCCCCAAGACGCGCCCAAGACGGACCCGAGTGGGCCCCCCAAGAAGGCCACAAGCCCTTCCATGTTGCGAAAAGGCCAGCAAGGCCCACCCACCCACGCCAGGCGAACATCATTGAACACATAGATATGTTGAACGATATTGGCAGTGCCGCTCAACGTGACTGTCGCGCCCCGCGTGTAACGCGCCCCCGTACGTCGCAGCTCGCACATGTAAACAACACTTTCTCAGATTCGTTCTCAGTGTCTCTCTCTCTCTCTCTCTGTTCCCTCGCTCTATCCCACTGTGTTATTATCTCTCGCTCTCTCTCTCTCTCTCTGTCTCTTTCCCTTTTCATATTTGCCTCTCGCCTTAGCGATGTCGCGTGAATCGCCGACTCTGCGCTGAGTTCACGCCTGCCTTCCCATCCTCACTACCTCTCTTATCTTTCTCGCTGCTCTCGCCCTCGGCACGTTACCCCCGCGCGAATTCTGCCTCGCAGTTCCCTTTTTTGTCCGACTTCCGAGACATTCCGCATGAAGCCCTGTATATCGCGTTATTATCTTCACGCTATCTCCTCAGGGTGACCCGCGCCATCCTCCCAGTGCATCGCTGCGGCGCTTCAGTTCGCAACTACGTTTATCCATGCTTTCTGCTGCACTTCTCCCCCGCAGCGCTATGAATGCCATGTCGTCAGCGCATATTTGTTGCGCTGCCCCCGTTACTAAGATGCTGAATTGCCAATGCAGGCTTTTGTTCCCTGTGCGTTCGGCCCGCCACATTTCTTCCATGCTCTTCGGCCGGCGTCGTCACGATCCGCGGGTTTGCCTTTGCTGTGAGTTCTTCCCAGTCTCACCCACCCACGCCAGATACAGCAAGATTTTGTCCGCTTGCACTGACCTTCCGTGAGCTTCCTGGCGAAGCCCGAGCGCCGACCCGATTGCTATCATCGCATCAAAGTCAAAGACGGCATCACAAAGGACTTCCGTCCGCGGCGACGATACACGAACATCTGGTATGTGTTGTACCGGTAACTGGTTTTGTGTTTCTCATTGTACCGCGCAGTTTCCCTCCCTTGTCTGATCTGGGCGTACACGAATTTGCCCATCAAAGCACGGCAGATTAGGAGCACAGCACACGGCATACCAGCTAGCTATCATTGCATTTGTTTTGCACATGCTCTCTCATTCCGCTGTGTGTCCCTCTCTCTCTCTATATATATATATATATCTATCTCTCTCACTCTCTCTCTCTTTCTTTCTCTTTTCTCTCCCCCCCGTGTGTCTCGGCCTTGTGCCCATTCATTCGAATAGTATGGATTGGGCATGGCTTAGGCGAAGGGCGGAGTCTTGCGGCGTCGGGTGGTGGAGAAGCCCTTTTCTGAAAAGGAAGAGGGGGGGAACGAGGAAGCGTTATTATCCACCTGCGTTCGAAACTGTTTGCGGGATGCGTGTCCTCATCGGCGGCATCCTGGACGCCATACGGAGCCATTTCGGGATGCCTTGTGCAATCTTGGAGGCCATCCTTAGCTATCTTGGAGGACGTCCTCAGCTCAGATGAAAAAGAGGTCCAGCACTACAATGCTCCCAGTATCAATTTTGAGTGACGGAAGATGAGTATAGCTTGGCAGTACAGCACCACGGGTACCACGAGCATCGCGACGGATACCATGAGCTTTCGACGCGAACCACTTACACCACGATGGCTACCATAGCCAGCACGACAAATACCACGAGCAGCCTGACGGGTCCCATGAGTTGCACGACGAATGCCACGAGCAACCGCCGCGCACCAGTGAATTACCCAGCTAACCAGCGTTCCAGGATTTATCCCAACCGCGACGGGCACCACGAAACAGCACGACGGACACCATGAGCGTTACGACGATTGCCACGTGCAGCGCGACGGGTACCACGAGCAGTCTGACGGATATCACGAGCAGCACGACGGATCCCACGGTGCGCGGCTGACAGATGTTCCAGGAGTTATTGGCTGCACGACGGGTAGCACGAGCAACGCGACGGATTTCATTATTTTCAAGGGGGGAACTACCATGTGCAGCACGACGGCTACTGTGAGCAGCGCGGCGGTGACCACGGGAAACACGTGGAAACCATTCCCATTGCCGTCGACCCCACCACCCGCACCACCACATCCACGACCATCAGCACCGCAATTCCGACTTCGCAACGACATGGCTCTTCTCCCAGCTGTCGCCACAGGCTCCTTCACGCCTGCTGTTCTAGCGGCCGACACCAGCTCCGACCTCAGCTCCGACTCCTCGTCCAGCGCCTGCCCTGGCTCGGGCCCCGCCCGACATTAGCACCATATCTGGCGTCGATTTCGTATCCGACTCTTAGTCCTGCTCCGACCCCAACTCCTGAATTCAGTGCAAGACCGTAGTTCCGGATGTTGCGCAACTGGGCTCCTGGACATAATGTTGTGGAAGGAGGCCTGTTTTGTCAGAGCAGGGCTAGCTCGTTGATGTGCACTCCGTTTTCGTTATGGCCCAAGTCCAGAAACCATCAATGGGATTGTTGTTGCCACATGTGTTAGCGGAGCGGGGTGCCCCCGCCCAGACGCCAACCGGACCGTGAGCCGACGTGGCGGCGTCAGGCACGACTTTTTCAAGTTCGTGACGAGGACTCCGTTCCAGGTCCGACTAGCGGCTAGCGCGGTATCCACGGCATCGAGGGGAACGAGAAAGGGCGAAAAAGGGCGACGAGTCATTAGCTCCGGCGGTGATCCCAGGGACACGCTCCGCATATCCAGCTGCGGTAGCACCCCATGACGAGACCGCGAGAGGAGGCGAGGGTCCAGCGATTCCCCTTCGTAGTGCCGCCCCAGCAGCAGGACTGACGGCCGAAGAATTAACCGGGCTCGTGAAGAATAATGTCAGGAATATGGTCGGGGCATCACCTCCGCAAGCGACGACGGCGCTAACTGCGGCCAACGGCACTCAGCAAGCTGATCCCTCGCTGAAGGCGGGGCGCGATCCTTGGAAGAATCAGGCGACCTTCTCTGGAGGTGGAGCAGCATGATTATCGGTCAAGGCCGGGGACGGCAAGACTCAGGACAAGGACCAGCACAAGAAGGACAGCGACTGGCACAAGGATAACTGGCACGAGGAAGATTGGTCAAAGCCGGGCGCCGGCTGGGACTGGAAGTCAAGCGCCCAGGGCAGGGCCAGATCGAGCGGAGGATCTTTGCTTGGCAGACCAGAGGGCGAGGTGATTTCTCCGATCCATGGGCGTGCCCCGCTAGAATTTCCACGGGCAGCGGCGCAGTGCTCCCAGGCGATGGAACACGAACACCGGCGCGTCGATCTGGCGCTGCGCCGAGAAGTTTTTGAAGCCTTTCGACTGCAATCTGCTGGCGAAGTTCGAGGACATCTTGGAGCCTTCGCGAGTGGCCGCCCGATCGAGGCGGTTTTCGGCCGCGTGGGCATGATGTTCGGAGGTAGAGAGGGAAAGAGAAGGGGAAGAAGAGAGAGAGTGAGATCATAGAAAGAGGCGCCGATCTACCACGAACAGGTCGCAAGGCACTTTTCGAGGCAGCCTGAGAGCAGATGGAGACTCTCTTTCAGCGCGCGGGCCGACGCGAGGTCCGATCGGCCCGCGCAGAGGGCAACGACGCGCGGCCCCCCCCGAAGCTCGAGGGGCTCCGGACTGAGCACCCCAGGCGCGCAGAATTTCAGAACCTTGACGCAGGGGAAGCTGGGCCATCGCACTGCTGCCCGGGCACTTCAACAGATGGGCTCGACCGGCTTTGACAGGATGCTCCCGTCCAGGACAGCTCTAGGAAGCATGCTCGCATCTCTGGGCGGCGAGGGCGAAGTCCCTAGCTGCGGCGACCAGCTTCAACCTTTCCCCCCCCCATCCTCAGGTTTGGCCCGACGACGGTGACGAGTCTGAGGGGGGCAGCCAAGGCCGTCGAGGGCGCCGGGGCGGCGCCGTGCACGTGGCTACGAAGGCTGCCGCCTGCCAGCTGGACGCAGCACTCGTACCCTGAGGGCGCCGCGGACTTCGCGCACCGCACGGGCTGCTGGGGCGAGGTCGAAGCCCTGCGTGGGTGCGACGGCTTCCTCGATGTATTCGGGGACGGCTCGGGGGGCGAGCACAGTGACGATCCCGGGCTCCGACGTTGCGGGGTCGGCGTCGCCGTCGTGCGCACCTTCGGCGAGCGCGACGGTGACTCCCCGGAGCTCGTGGCAGGCGTCGTGGCGGGGCTGCCAGGATCCGAGCAGACCGTCCCGAGAGCCGAGCTGTGGGCCTTCCTCTTCGCTCTGAGGGCCGCGCAGGGCGACCTGCGCTACCGCGCCGACAACATGCCGCCGGTGTCGGGCTGGGCCCGAGGGCGCCAGCGGCAGTCGCCGAGCGGTGCAAAAGTGGACTTGTGGCTTGCCGTTCGGGCTGTCGTGAGTGGGAGGGCGAATTTAAGTTCAAGTTGTGCTTTTGCACTGTCACCAAGCTGAGGAGTTGACGGGCCGAGGGGCCCCCTTATCAGCTCTGGCAGATCGCTGGAAACGAATGCCCCGACGTCTTCGCTGGCCAAGCTACCGCCGAGGTCCTGTGTGAAGCCACCGCCAAGGCCGAAGTCGGGTGGGTCGACGCGGTGGCGTATCTTGCGCGTCTCAGGGCCGTCCGCGCCAACCTTGACTGCGTGGCTCTCGACCCCATAAAATCGGAGGTGGAGCCCAGGGGTCCTAGAGCGTGCAAGCAGGCAATCCTGACCGCCTCGTCGCACCACCAGATTGAGCGTGCGAGGTGGCATTGCAGAATCTGTGAGCGCTCAGCCTTGCACGCGGACCTGGAGTGGTTCGCCAAGTTTGAGTGTAGGCCCACGCAGATTGCACAGGCTGGCGCGGTGTGCGCGCAAAACGGGGTCAGAGGGGGCGTTGCCGACGGGCTCTAGTGCGGGTGAATGCGCTGCGCCCGTCGCACACCCTCCTGTAGATTGACCAACTCGATTTGTTTGTTATGTTCCTCCTGCGGGGGCTGCAGTTGCCTCACGGCCAAAACTCTGGGTGCGGCCTGCGGCCACAAGTCAGCCAAAGGAGAACAGAACTTCAGACGCATTTCGAAGGGGTTGATGGCTCCACCCTAAGAGTTGGCGCGGTGCCAACTTGGCCATCGCGCGAGCTAGTGCGCACGTGCATGTGTACCTGTGTGTGTGTGTTTGTGTGTGCGCGTCTTGGGTGTTTTCTAGTGACAGTAGACGAGCCGATCTGGCAACATTTTGCCTTACTTGTTTTAGTGCGATTGTGTACTTTTCATGCCGATGTCATGCCGATCCTTCTTCCTCGTCTGCCTCCTGCTATTCCTACCCCGCCTCCTCCTCCCTCACTTCCTCCTCGTCGTCCTTTCCCCCTGGTGCTGTTCTTCATTACAATCTCCTCCCCCGGGCCATCATCTTCCGGTTGGCCCTCGCCCCCTCTCTCCTTTGTGTGCTCCTCTAGATTCACCGCTTCCTCCTTGCTCCGCCTCATCCGCCCCCCACCCCCCTTTCTGTTCCCGTCTCCTCCGCCCCGCCCAGCCCATCTTTCGACGCCGCGGCCACTTGGCGCAGTGCAAAAACAATTTCGGACGGCACCGTGAGGCCATATTGAAAGCTTCGAGAAGCTCGTGGCGCTTGGCGCCGTCTTGGGCCGGTTTTGGAAGTGCGCCCGAGGCCTTCTTGAACACGTTCGGGTGTCTTTTGGGACCCTCTTGGAGGCCTTGGGCCCCGTCTTGGAGACATGTGGGAGGACACCTTTCAAACAGACAAGGGCTGCACGGATTGGGGGTGCCCCATACCAGGTTCGAGAAGTCATTGATTGTGCCATCGCGTGCACTTTTGGGGCCCTCTTGCGCGCCATTGGGGCGACATTGGGACCATGTGGGTAGCCTTTGGTGCCCTCGTGGAGATCGCTCTGTGTCCTCGCGGGGGCCTCTTGAACCACCTTGGAGGATATCGATCAAATAGGAGGGGGTTCTCGAGCAGCCTCGCGCCTTGGGACCCCCCAGAATCGCGTATTGGAGCGCTCCTGGGTGTTCTCGGGGCCGCCTTGGGGCCCCTATTCGGCCCCTCTTGGCGCTCTCTCGGGCCACCTCGAAGCCACATCGGGGCTCCCAAAGCCCACCAGGAGCGAGAAGGGCGAGAATGCAACGCAGTGTTACTCTCCCTTTGATTTTGGGATGGTTTAGTAGGTTTGGCGCCCCCTTGGGCCAGTTTCGGAACGGACGATGGGTCCGATATTGAGCCATGTTGGAGCGCCTTGACCCATGGTGGAGGTCATGCTGGGTCCCCTGAAGGTTTTGGGGGGGGGCATCGTAGGCCATCTGCGCAAAACCCTGCCCAGACCAAGGAGGGAAGCCCCCCTCCCCAGAAAGGGGAAGAAATGGGTTGGAGGAGGAATCGCTCTACACCACATGCTCCCTACAGGCCCTGCAGGGCTGGTGGGATTTGCCGAAAGAAGGAAGCGGTTTCGGCAAAGCTGCAAGGGAGTTCTGCGAGCGGCTAGTTCGTGGCCAGGAGCCGATGCCGTCCGAAGCCGAGATCGCCAGTGCGCAGGAGGCTGCCGCCAGGTCGCCGATGGAGCATCCGTACTTGAGGTCCATGCAGTACCGGAAGGGGGGCTATGCGATTCTGCTGGCGCTGCGGGATGCCGAGCGCTCCCCTGCCTACCCGGGCTTTTCAACGATCAAGGAAGTGTGCAGGTTGGGGCAGAAGTATTGCGATGACCCGATGGAGGAGATGGGGTCCACACCTATTCCTGCTCTGCGGCCAGGGGGGTTCGTTTAGGGCGCCCCCCCCGGCCGGGCCACCGGGCGACAAACGCGACACGGCAAACGCGGTCTGAAGCAAACAAAGATGCACGCGCAAGACAAAAGCGCGGGGTACCTGCGAAATGCGCTTGTTTCGTGTACCGCGTTAGTTTGTCTACCGTGCCCCATTCTTCCCCTTCCCTGAATCGCACTCATACGCATGCCTTCTCCCGCGCCCTTTTTTCCAGTCACCTCCCTACTAGTCGGATGGCAGATTTGAGTTTATTGGATTTTTCTGGGGTCCCCTTGGGGCTTTCTTCGGGTGGTTTTGGGGCCCCCTCTGTGCCGTTCTGGGCCGCTACGCGTTGTGGCCATCCGCGGTCGTCTTGGCGGCCTCTTGGGCTGCCTTGGAGCGCTTCTAGAGCATCCTGGACCGTTGCCCACGTCCCCGCTGGGGCGCTTTTGCGCCGCTCCCGGCTGCCATTGGGGCCATACTGCGCAGTCTCAGGGCCCATTGGAGCTCTCCTTGAGCCCACTCTGGATACGTAACGCGCGCCTGCGTGGCAGTCCCCCCCAGTCTTCGTCCCCGTCGTCGCCCTACATAAGCATCATCATCACCGCCATCATCATCATCATCATCATCATCATCATCATCATCATCATCATCATCATCAGCAGCAGCAGCAGCAGCATCAGCATCAGCATCAGCATCATCATCAGCAGCAGCATCATCGTCATCATCGTCACCATCACCATCGCCATCACCATTGCCATCATCATCACCATCAGCATCATCACCATCATCGTGGTCATCGTCACCATCATCATCATCATCAACATCGCAATCGTTATTATCATTATCAGCATCGTCATCACCACCAGCATCATCATCACCATCGTCAGCATCATCCGCATTATCATCAGCAGCAGCATCATCATCATCATCCTCATCATCATGAGTGCTGTCCTTCTCCCTCGCTAGATGGGCCCCTCCCCTCCCTGCCCCCCCTCTACAAATAGGATCCTCTCTCAGGCCGCCCGGGCGTTCTCCCGGAGCCCTCGTGGGAAGTTGTTTGGGCCGTGTCGCGGCCACCAGGGTCGTCCTGAGCCCACCCGGCATCTCCTTGGACCTTTTTCTGGGCCTCTTTGGGTATCTTGGGGCTTTCAGCCCTCGTCGGATGCTGTGGGTGGGCACTGGGGCCGTGCAAGGCCGTCTTCGAGGTTACTGGACCCGACTTGAAGTCACGTCCCTATCCCAGGGGGGGGGGGGGGTTCGACAGTGTCGCGGAGCCGCTTGGAGCCCTCGCGACATCCGTGGGGACCGCGTTCGCCTGTGTCCCAATCCTGCCCCCCCCCCTCCCCGCATTCGCCCTCCTCCTTGGCCTGCTCCTCGCTGGAGGGGCCCAGGGTCAGACCCGATGGCTTTGGGCAGCGGCTCTAAATTTCAGGAGCGAAAGAAGGACGCACACGTACATGAATCCGCGTTGGTTTCGTACGTACGCGTTTCGCGAACGTTCGTATCACGAGGTTGGTCTCGCGGACTGGGGGGGCCGTATTCCTGTACGTGGTTGGGCGCGTACGTTTTTTGTGGGTTCCCTAAAGCTTTCCTGCAAGGGTGTTGCGCTGGAGCCAGGCTCAAGATGGCGCGTGCTTGCCCCACTCCTTCCTTGGAACGCGCGCCCACTGCTCCCCGTCACTCCCCTGTCTGGCCCCCTGCATTCCATGGGTGTGCTCTAGTTGGCCGCCTTTGGCTTCTTTAGAAGCCCTCTTATTCCCAACCATCCTGTGGTGTTGGGTCCTCGTTTTGAAAAGACGTCGCCCCGCGTTCCTTCCTCCTCCTCCTTCCTCCTCCTCCCCTTCCTCCCCCCTCCTCCCCCTCCCACACCCATTCTGGCACACCCCTCACACGTTTCGTGGCCCCATAGGGAGCTCCACCGAAGGCCCCAGTGGCTGCGCCCGCATGCGGTTCCACCCCCCATTCTGGCACACCCCTCACACGTTTCGTGGCCCCATAGGGAGCTCCACCGAAGGCCCCAGTGGCTGCGCCCGCATGCGGTTCCACCCCCCATTCTGGCACACCCCTCACACGTTTCGTGGCCCCATAGGGAGCTCCACCGAAGGCCCCAGTGGCTGCGCCCGCATGCGGTTCCACCCCCCATTCTGGCACACCCCTCACACGTTTCGTGGCCCCATAGGGAGCTCCACCGAAGGCCCCAGTGGCTGCGCCCGCATGCGGTTCCACCCCCCATTCTGGCACACCCCTCACACGTTTCGTGGCCCCATAGGGAGCTCCACCGAAGGCCCCAGTGGCTGCGCCCCAGTGGCTGCGCCCGCATGCGGTTCCACCCCCCATTCTGGCACACCCCTCACACGTTTCGTGGCCCCATAGGGAGCTCCACCGAAGGCCCCAGTGGCTGCGCCCGCATGCGGTTCCACCCCCCATTCTGGCACACCCCTCACACGTTTCGTGGCCCCATAGGGAGCTCCACCGAAGGCCCCAGTGGCTGCGCCCGCATGCGGTTCCACCCCAATTCTGGCACACCCCTCACACGTTTCGTGGCCCCATAGGGAGCTCCACCGAAGGCCCCAGTGGCTGCGCCCGCATGCGGTTCCACCCCCCATTCTGGCACACCCCTCACACGTTTCGTGGCCCCATAGGGAGCTCCACCGAAGGCCCCAGTGGCTGCGCCCGCATGCGGTTCCACCCCCCATTCTGGCACACCCCTCACACGTTTCGTGGCCCCATAGGGAGCTCCACCGAAGGCCCCAGTGGCTGCGCCCGCATGCGGTTCCACCCCCCATTCTGGCACACCCCTCACACGTTTCGTGGCCCCATAGGGAGCTCCACCGAAGGCCCCAGTGGCTGCGCCCGCATGCGGTTCCACCCCCCATTCTGGCACACCCCTCACACGTTTCGTGGCCCCATAGGGAGCTCCACCGAAGGCCCCAGTGGCTGCGCCCGCATGCGGTTCCACCCCCCATTCTGGCACACCCCTCACACGTTTCGTGGCCCCATAGGGAGCTCCACCGAAGGCCCCAGTGGCTGCGCCCGCATGCGGTTCCACCCCCCATTCTGGCACACCCCTCACACGTTTCGTGGCCCCATAGGGAGCTCCACCGAAGGCCCCAGTGGCTGCGCCCGCATGCGGTTCCACCCCCCCATTTCGGCACACCCCTCACTCGTTTCGTGGCCCGGGGGCGCCACCGAGGAATATATCCACAATTGCGGTATTCACAACTACGTATGGTTGGGTCTTTCGTCAGGCTAATATTCTTATGGAGCCTACTTGGAGCTATGCTGGAAATTTGTTAGGCTGTTTGGAGCCTCCCTGCAGGCCCTCATGGGCAACCATTGGTTCCCGAGGAAATTAGCCTGGCGAGCACCGGCGTTGTATGCACCGCATTCGGAGGAGCTCCCCATGGGGCTACCAAGCGTGTGGTGTGTATGTGTGTGCTGGCCGCATGCGAGCGCTGGCATTTGGACCTTCGGTGGGGCTCCCTGTGGGGCCACGAAACGTGCGAGGGGTGTGCCAAATTGGGCGCGGTGGCCGCATGCAAACGCTGGCATTTGGGCTTTCAGTGGGGCTCCCTATGGAGCCACGAAGCGTGTGAGGGGTGTGCCAAAATTGGCGCGATGGCCGCATGCGAACGCTGGCAGTTGGGCCTTCGGTGGGGCTCCCCATGGAGCCACGAAACGTGTGAGGGGTGTGCCAACACGGGTGCGGTGGTTGCATGCGAACGTTGGCATGTGGGCCGTTGGTGACGCTCCCTATGGGGCTACGAAGCGTGCGAGGGGTGTGCCAAAATGGGCGCGGTGGGCGCATGCGAACGCTGACACTTGCCACTATGGGGCAACGAAACGTGTGAGGGGTGTGTTGAAACGGGTGCGGTGGCCGCGTGTGAACGCTGGCATTTGGGTTTTCGGTGGGGCTTCCTGTGGGGCCACCAAACGTATGAGAGGTGTGCCAAAATGAGTGCGGTGGCCGCACGCGAACGCTGGCATTTGGACCTTTGGTGGGGTTCCCTATGGAGCCACGAAGCGTGTGAGGGGTGTGCCACAACGGGTGCGGTGGTTTCATGCGAACGCTGGCATGTGGTCCTTCGATGACGCTCCCCATGGGGCCACGAAGCGGCGGTGGGCACATGCGAACGCTGACACTTGGGCCTTCGGTGGGGCTCCCTATGGGGCCACGAAACGTGTGAGGGTGTGTTGAAACGGGTGATGATGCGGATGATGATGATGATGATGATGATGATGATGATGATGATGATGATGATGATGATGATGATGATGATGATGATGCTGATGCTGATGCTGATGCTGATGCTGATGCTGATGCTGATGCTGATGCTGATGATGATGATGCTGATGCTGGTGCTGATGCTGATGTTGATGATGATGATGATGATGCTGATGATGATGATGATGATGCTGATGCTGATGCTGATGCTGATGCTGCTGCTGCTGCTGATGGTGATGGTGATGATGATGATGATGATGATGATGATGATGATGATGATGATGGGAGGAGGGAAGAGAGGAGGAGAAGATTGACGCGGGGCGATGTCTCTTCAAAACGAGGGCCCAAGACCACAGGATGGTTGTGAAAAAGTTTAGCGTGCACCTGACCCCTACCCCCCCGACCCCGTCCCGACACCCCCATGTTCAACCCTTTCTACTTGGAAGGTGTTCCTCTGAGCCTTTTTGGAAGGGGTCCTTCGGTCTCCTGGACCGGCCTGAGATCCTGGGTCCGCCTTGGCGATCGGAGCTTGTGTTGGGGCCTCGGAGGGGCCTCTTGGAGCCTCTTCGGGCCATCCAGGAGTACGAGGGAGGCTTCCTCAGCGCCCCGTGATGTTGGAGCCGTGGCCAGTTCAGCGTGTACATGTCTCTCCCCCCTTGCTTGGGGCTTGCGCCTAACCCCTCGCCGCTATCCCCCTCCTCGGTCCACTCCCTACATGGAGGGACGTCGGAACCCTTTTCTTAGGGCCCTCTT